TGAAACTATTTAGGCTTGCATTCTACATTGCATGCGCATATTGTTACATTTGCATTTCTCAGCCTTGCGTCTCTTTGTCTCCCTCTTATTTAGAGAGAGAAAGGGGATACCTAGCACATATCTAGGACAAATGACAACAATGGACGAACTTTTAAGAGCTCAAGAAACTATGAAAGAGGACATCAAAATTTTCAAGTGTCAGATGAATTGGGTTCTAGAGACATTGCAGAACATGATGAAGAAACAAAGTCACTCTCACCATGTTGCGTCTAGAGAAACTAGGGCTGCATTATCTCCGATGGTTCCTCCAACTCGAGGACGTCCTCGGTATCAACGACCAAATAACCATCAATCGCGTCAGCACGCCCGATAAAGACCAAGGAAACCAGAGGGACATTTCAGTCTGTTTCCAATGTCATACAGTCAGATACTGCCAGACTTGATCCAAGGCGGATTGATAATACCAAATGAGCTGAAACCGGTGATTCCTCCTTACCCTCTAGGCTTTGATACCGACGCCAGATGCGACTATTATGCTGAGGCACTGGAGCATTCAACTAAAGACTGTAAAGTACTACGAAACAAGGTTAAAGATTTTATCAACTCCAAAATGATCTCTTTCGCGCCTCAAGGTGTTCAAGTAAACAAAAATTCCCCATCTCTTATGTCTCTTCCACAACAAGAACGTGCACCCGAAGAAATTTCACACAAGTCAGTATCTGACCAAGCTGCCAAATATCATACGATCACCAGAAAAGTCTCTCACCACTCAGTGTTTGTTCCTCCTCAATGTTCTCAAATCCAGAGCTTGAACAAGAAGAATCATGTTAGGAAAAATAAGACTTACGGTAAACCAATTCCAGTACCGCTAAGCAAACTTTACCCGCTATCGATTCAGAACTCGTTGGTGACTTCACGACTATTCAATCCTGTGCCAGGGCCATGGCACAATGCGAACCTGACCTGTGAATTTCACAAAGAAGCTGAGGGACACAACTTAGATGCATGTCTGGCATTAGGTTTTCTTATGCGAGAGCTGATCAATGACAAAGACTTGATCCTCGAAGAAGACCACCCAGAAGTTGAATGCAGATACCGTACTGGGACAATAGGGCACCTAGTTGAAGAGTGTAAAGGTTTTAAATTGAGACTGCAAGAGTTGCTGAAACCTCAAGAGGATAAACCAAATGACAGTGCCGCGATTCCTAAATACAAAGGCAAAGGACCCACGAGACCTCTCATAATTCTATACCACAAAGAGCAAGTGGTTGTTGAAGGTGTTTCCCCGTCTGGGCCTGAAATCTGAAGTCTGTTGAAGTTTAATCCCCTAAGGCTGACATTTGTAGACTGTTTCAGCATTTTGTTGTATTTTCTTTGCATTTGTATTGCTTGTAAGCTATTGTTTGTTTTGAATTGGAAAGACTAATGAAATGTTTGTGCATCTTTTGATTAAGTCCATTCGTTTCACTCTTTCTCGTTCCTTTCATTGTTATAAGAAAACGAGAAATGCAAAAAATTCTTTTCTTTACCAAACAGTTGTTTAAAGCAAAGATTGGAGAGGATGATGAAAACTATGTCCATAACTGTTGTTGATATGCTTTTAATTTAACTTTGTCGATGATGTAAGACATTGTTTCAATCCCTAAGCACTGGAGTAATAAGGAAGATAATCCCTCGTTAACCCCTTCGAGCTCAGAAGTATGAGTTTTCTTTCTTTAAAAATAAAATAAAAAACCTTAAATCTTAAACCTGGGGCAAGGTAGTTCTCAGTTTAACTTGGGTATACGTTCGAATGCAAGAACTTCACCAAGAAACCTGTCAGATCCCTTAAATCCATTGAATAAATGTTGTACAAGTTGTTCCAAAAGTAATATCTAAGGAAGGACTGTTAAGAAATCCATACTTGAAGAATGAGCCGAGTCCCTTTCAAGGCAAAAGCAAAGAAAGATAGGAAGCTTATAACCTTGCCTTATACAAAAGGCTTGTATGAGAATCAAAAGAGGAATTCATAAGTCTTTCAATCTGAAAGTCCTCAATAGCAAAAAGCTATCAAATACTGTAAGGGAGTAGTGACTACTTTAGGTTTGTGTACCATCGTCAGTTTGCCACCAGTTCAATTCATAAGCCTGTAAGAACTTGAATGTGTAGTTTGAGTTAACTGAACGTAGGATTGAAGTTCATCGTAGAGAGTGGGTGGAAACAAATAACTTTGAGCCTTTATCCTTTGTTACATGAACCGTGAACTGAGCCACATTACAACCCTTAAAAGACCTAATTGAGGTAAGGTTGTTTTGAAATCATATTACAGCAAGGTTGGATAACCTGACTCCTAATGATCTTTGATAATTGTGTGTGTTAATCACTTTATCCATCACTTGTAAAATGGTTGGATCCCTTTCACTTTGATCACTTGATCACTCCGCTGTGTGTGTTTCATTAAAAAAATTCGTTTTCACAAGTTTGCATGAATTTTGCATTGAAAGTTGCCAATATTTGATGAACAACATTATGTGCAAGACGATCCAATATCAAAGGAATCCCAACAAATGCTGCCAGCTAGGGAGTTTGACTTGGTAAAGGAAGCTCAGCCTGGGGAAACCAATTTGAAGGATTTGTTAATCATTTTTCACAACGTTCAGCTAATCAGAAGCGATTAGGTCAAGATCAGATAAATCTCTCAAAGAATAGTTTATATGGGGCAACTCTTTTGCAGTTACCAGCTAGCAGGGGCAAGTTTGTTCCCCAGTCGTTACTTCCACAGTCTGAGGACTTTGTTGTACAAATACAGTTAAACTGGGGCATCCATATCGAGATTTATGAATCTCTTTAAGAGTTTGAAGACATTGAAGCATCTTTATGCCAATTCTTTTGTAAAATCCTCTTGATGGCTTCTTCTCACAGACCATGTAATCTGGGGCAGAAAAGGTTTGAAGACTGTCTGTCGCAAGAGCCGTTGCTCACTTGAAGATGATTATTATACTATCGAGAGGCAGAAATGTTTTATTCTCATGATACCTTTTGCCAGCTCCCCAATTAAGTTGTTACTTCGGTTTATATGGGCATTTCCCTGTGTGATTTTCCTCCTCCAACAAAGAATTCAAACTCATGATGGCAATCTGAGTGAAGACATAATGTTGTGTCCTAAGTAGATTACTATCTCCCAGAGAAGGTTGTAACCTTGAAGTGGAACTGCTGTTCTTCATGATCATCCCCGTTGATGTCCAATTTAGTGAAGTTGGTTGGGTATCCCTGTCGAGATGTTTATTTCATCTCCAGTTTTGTTTTTTCTGTTTTGCCAGCATAAACATAAGCATGGCATAAGCATATGCATAACATCTGTGCATTTTTTCTATCTCTAGTTGTTACCTGTTTTTATTCACTTTCGTGTTTTCTCCAAGTAACTAGGTATGCCGTCTCTTTCTCCAATAGAGTTGTCAGCCTTTAAGCATAAAATGTCCATCGTTTCTCAATTTCCCACAGAGTTTAATCCTCGTGGATGATGGTTGCTTCAGTTATCTTTTTTTCATGTTTGGATAAGATGCACCCCCATTCGAGTTCATTCCTCAATGGTTGGAGTCTTGGTTTAACCATTTCTTTCTAGCTTGTTCCTAGATCGAACTTTGGTCCCCAGGAGGTTGCCGAACCCAATTTGAATGTGCATTTATTTTGCACCATGTCTTGTAAGAAGAACTTATCTGCAATTCCCCAAAGAAAATAAGTGGCAGTCTCGTTTGAGAAGCTTATCTTAGGGACGTTAAGGTCCGGTTGTTACCAGTATTGTTTGAAAAGTCCAGTGGGTACTGGCAATGATTGAAAGTCCAGTGGTTACTGACATCGTTTGGAAAATCCAGTGGTTACTGGTATTGTCGATTTGGTGGTTACCAATCATGGTGGAAGATCCAGTGGATACTGACAGTGATTGAAAGTCTAGTGGTTACTGACATCGTTAGATCTAATGGTTATTGGAAATTTCATCCAACGCTGTTGTGTTTTTTTTTGTTGGTGGTTACCAACATCCCCGGTAAAGTACAATTGTTTATCATATAATAGAGTTTAATTACCCTGTATCTTTCCTGATGTTTCTTGAAGATCCCATTTGATCTCTTCATTTTAGGAATTTTCAGAGGCTTAGATGTTTATCCTTGCTTGAAAATCTAGTGGTGACTGGTACTGATGAATTGGTGGTGACCAATTATATTCCATGTAAGGCCAGTTGGTAATTGGCGTTGAGGAAATCCAGTGGTAACTGGTACTGGTGAATTGGTGGTGACTAATCATATTCCATGTAATGCCAGTTGGTAATTGGCGTTGAGGAAATCCAATGGTGACTGGTACAGATGAATTGGTGGTGACCAATCATATTACATTTAAGGCCAATTGGTAACTGACGTTGAAAAAATTCAGTGGTGGTTGGTACTGATGAATTGGTGGTGACCAATCATATTTCATGTAAATGTCCCGTATAAATTACATACTTAAACTATATTCTCACCTTTATGATTATTATTTATATCCATTCATTATCTTAAAATAAAAATATAATCTAAGAGAAAATAGTTTATATTCAAAAACTAGTTGTATAAATTTAAATAAACGTGAAAATCTCTTCCTTTTTTTGTTTTTTAAAATTTTTTTGCAATCATAAAAGATATTATTTTTATTCATATGTGGTTCACTTAACCAACTAATTTAATTTAAAAATTAATTTTGATCAACTGTCACAAAGATTTCATTTATTTGAAGATCTATATTCTTTTCTGGTGTAATTAAAAATTAAAAAATAAACCCTAAACCCTCTTTGAACACAGAGAACCCCAGAACGCTGCAGTTCCACCACCGATCCTTCCTACCTCACCGCATCGCACAAGCCACGGCGGAAACAGAGAAATCACCAGTGATCCCACCACCTCTTCCATCCTATGAACCATAATAACGTTTGGTGAGATTACTTAATCTAATGCCGAGTAATTAACATCCTTAAATTTCATCATCATCACCCAATGCACCATTTTGTAAAAATTCGATCTTTTTCATGCTTTCAATCTCTCAAAATCTTTCCTTTCTCAACCCAACAAATGGGTATGGCTTCAATTGCTGATACCCTTTATACCCATCTAAACAAAAACAATGGCATCAGTATTGAGAATTCATTGTCCAAGACTAAACCTAAATTGGACTCTCAATGTGTTATCAAAGTTCTCAGTAAGTGCTGTCCTAAACAATCTCAATTGGGTGTTAGGTTTTTCATTTGGGCTGGATTTCAACCTGGGTATAGGCATAGTGGTTATATGTATAGGAAAGCTTGCAACTTGCTTGGGATTGATAAGAATTCTCAGGTTATTTGTAATTTGATTAAGTCTTATGAGTCAGAAGGGTGTGTTGTTAATGTTAATATGTTTAGGGAGGTTTTGAAGCTGTGTAAAGAGGCTCAGCTTGCTGATTTGTCTCTGTGGGTGTTGAGGAAAATGGAGGATTTTGGTTTGCAACCAGATACGGTGATGTATAATGTAGTTATAAGGTTGTTTTGCAAGAAGGGTGATGTTGAAATGGCGGAGGAGTTGATGGAGGAGTTGAGTTTGAATGATCTTTGTCCGGATTTGATTACGTATATGGCTATGATTGAGGGGTTGTGTAATGCAGGTCGGTTGGAGGAAGCTTATTCCATGCTAGAGGTTATGAGAGTTCATGGCTGTTCACCTAATTCGGTTGTTTTTTCGGCTATTTTGGATGGGTTATGTAGGTGTGGATCAATGGAACGGGGATTGGAATTGTTGGATGAAATGGAGAAAGGTGGAGATTGTTGTCCTAACGTTGTTACTTATACATCTTTGGTTCAAGGTTTCTGTAAGAGACGCCAGTGGACGGAAGCGTTGAGTATTCTTGATAGAATGAGAGCTTTTGGTTGCCTTGCCAATCATGTTACTGTTTTTACATTGATCGAGAGTCTTTGTACTGAAGGCCGTGTAGACGAAGCATACAAGTTGGTTGATAAGTTTGTGGTTGAACATTGTGTCTCGCGTGGTGATTGCTACAGTTCACTAGTGATTTCTTTGATAAGGATAAAGAAACTCGAGGAAGCGGAGAAGCTCTTCAAGGAAATGCTTGCTGGTGAGATCAAACCCGATACTTTAGCGTCTAGCCTTTTGCTAAAGGAGTTTTGTTTGGAGGATAAAGTACTGGATGGATTCTACTTGCTTGATACAATTGAGAATATGGGATTCTTGTCTTCCATCGACTCTGATATTTATTCTATTCTTTTAATTGGCCTTTGTCGAAACAACCACTTGACGGAGGCCACAAAGCTTGTGAAAATAATGCTGAAGAAAGCTGTTCCTCTAAGGCCTCCCTACAGAGACACTGCAGTTGACATCCTAAGAAAATATGGAGAAAAAGATCTTGTGAACCAGTTGACTGGTATAAATAAAAAACTATAATTTTGTTACCAAAGAGGTCAAGAATTTTGATATTTTATACCGGTCATCTTTGATAATTTTGGCCGCTTGGTGGCTTGCCGGTCAAGGTTTGAAGAAAACGATCGAAAAGTTTTGATCTACAGCACCTCATAATTACATTAGTAGAGAGTTGCAATACGCAGGCGAATCTATCGGTTAGTAATAATTGTCCACCATGGACCAAATATGATGGTGGTGTATGGTAAAAGCTGCTGTTGTTCTGTTAGTTTATTGTCATGTCAAAGATTGTAAACTTTTATAGTATCTCACAATGTACACATGGATATAGTCTAGTGTTCTGTAGTTTGTTAGTCTAACGAACAGGATTGTGTTTCTTGTATGAATATCATTGTTACCATCAAAATACGGTGAAATATAATTGTTTTAGGGAACTTCATACAAATTTCTCAGTTTTTCTTTCAATTTACTCTCAATTCTAATATGGTAGATAGACACCACCTTCAATGAGATTGGTAGCACTTTACTCTAAATTTTGTATTTTACTTGGAACTGCTAGTGCTAGATTCTCCTTGAGTGAGATTAGGGATGACTCTGCATGAATTTTCTTCAAAGCGTGCACACCAGGTTTGAATTTTCTTCTCATATATTGTGATTTAATCTGGTTGTCAATATCAATATCTGTGACAAAACATCGGTTGGAAAGAACAATCATAGGGCATAATGTTTTGTTGGGTTCTTGTTACCCAGTGTTCTGTGTTGACAGTGGTGCTGAAAATCTCATCCTCGCGCGATCTACAATTTTAGAGATTCCAACTATGACACCGAGTTGCAACCGTTGCATCTGTGATAGTTCTTAGGGATTATGGTGATGACTTTTCCATAAGCATGCAAGAAAAGACTGATGGTTTCATAAACAGCGGAACTAACACGGAACCATGCATAACATCCTCATCTCTTCTACAATCTATGTTCTTTTGAGGTTAGTTTTTATTTTTTTTAAAAGTGAACAGATTATGAAAGAAAAGTTCTTTGTTAATTAATTATGATGCGTCTAAAATTTGCTTCATAAACTACATTGCAGAATATATACCGACCAGGACGTAAGATATTACACGTAACACCGATATCGACACCGACATATAGGTGTTGGGTTGTAGATTAAAGGATGGTTTTGTTATCGTCTCCACAGAAATTGTTCTGATATAGGATACTTGCCGTTCAATAGTTTACCATTTTAAGAAAAGAGTTTTTAAAATTTGTTTCATAAATTGTCATGATTTAGTAGCAAAGCTTTAAATTCTAAAAGTTTGATTAACAAAATATTTCGAAAATAGTTTTCATCTACCATAACTAATACGTATTCTCTTAATCTTGCATGTGAAGTCGGATCCGATTAATATCATCGTGTATTCTCTCAATACCGTTTATGTCTAGAGCGGTGTCGTGAGAAATACCGTATTTATCGCTACACAATCTCTTCATATAACATTCAATATAGTAAGCTTTAAGTTCAACACAAAGCAAATATCAACCATAGACCGATCTTTCCAATCTATAAATTGATAGATAAAAATTTTAGGTCAAGTTCCATAAAATCTATGTCTAGAGTTTTAACAAACAAGAATAGATCATTAGCTCATTAAGAGCAAAAAATATTTATCATATATTAATCATCACTTGTTCACATACAAGGGCAATCAAAAGAAATACATAAAGCTAAGGTAGACTACCTCTACCTTTGATACAAAGGAAATTAGGTACTCATAACCATGGTATCTTACTTTACAAGTAATAAGAGAAAATGAATGAACATCCACGTCGAAGAATCGATCTTGGATGCGAATCCAACTTCTATTTGAAAAATATCACCCTTTGGTGAAGAAATGCAGAAAATATGAGATTCTATGTGAAAATGGGGTTATGATCCCAAAAAAGTGGGAAAAGTACGTATATAGTACTTCCAAAATCTGTCAAGTTTGCCTAGCGAAGACCACTTTATGGCACCTGAAGTGCCTTTGAATAGTTAAACTGCCCATGAGAAAATATCTAAGTTTGCAATGCGAACACTTCTTTGCCCAACGAGTTTCTTCACTACAAGTTCGTACATCGAACTTAGGGTCCTTTTCTTACTACCTTTAATCTGGGATGGTTCGATGGGGCTTCGCCAGGAGCTCGCACAACGAACATTCGCTGGCACCTCGTTGTTGTTCGCACAACGAACAATGCTGGATCTTCTTCTTTTCTTTGACTTCCTTGTCAATTCACTTGTGTCTTAATGTTTGATGTTTTATGCCTAAATCCGGCACAATAACACACAAATCAAAGCAATCAAAGGTATTTGCAACAATATTGAATAATAGCATTGAAACATGGAATAAATCCATTGAAAAATAACAAATGAGTTGAAAAATGTCATGAAATATGGATCAAAATGAGACATGTTTGACATTCAACAAACTCTCCCAAACTAGATGTTTGCTTGTCCTTAAGCAAAGTATGTCTCTCATTGAAAATAAGAGGATTTTCTCAAGCATTTAATTCAACCAAGAATGAATTTATGACTCAAATTAAACATACAAATACGCACAAGCAATGTTCACCACTTCCTAGAATCGAACAATGGAAAAGAATTTAGTTCTTAAACAAATATCATGCAATGTTTCAAATAACAACTAAATTGTCATGCTCGAATCACTCTAACACTCCTCTTCAAATAAGAATGAAGAAGTTAACGTGTTTGCAACCGCGGGGAAATTTCACTCACCTGACAAACAATGGAAACAACAATCCAATTCATACATTCATCTAATCAATCAAAAATGAAATTATGAAACCAAGAGATCACTAATGGCTTTTAAGATTGTAGCTTGGTTAGGTTAAAAACAAAGGGACCTATCTAAGGTCATGGAATCAAAGTTGTTAATGCAAAAGACACTTTCACTATACAAGGTTATGTACACACTACAACTACATCCACACTTTCTTTTCTCAATTGGTCACCCTTCGAAACTTCCTTAATGCACATTATTCATTCTCAATTTTTCTTTTTCAAACAAGCATGTTTTTTTCTTTTTCTTTTTCACATTCATATTCACAAATTTCTTTTCAATGCTTGGTTGAAAATTTTCAAAATTTTGAGTAACCTACCACTTTTCTTTTCACTCACCCCAACTTGAATTTAACCAAACCTCAAGTAAATGCTCCTTGCTTTTTATGGCAAGGAAGATAATTTAAAACAATGTTCAAGGGTTCAATTTTTTTTAATTTTAGAATCCCACAAAATTCAATGATGAACTATATTTTATTTTATGTAAATACACCAAGTTCATCACTAAATTAAGATCTAAACTATTAAGCTCAAAGGAGTTAGAAAATTCTCACTGCTCACGAGTAAGTTACTTTTTTGGGATATGATTGTGCTCAATATCAACAAATGTCTTGATCATTTCTAATGCTTCCACAAAATCAAAATAATTAAAAGATTAAGCATGAACCAAATGTATTAAACAAAGTTTATGAGTCATCCTAAGCATATAGTAAGCAATGGAGGTTTCTCACAATTTGTGGCTTTTGGACCTAAGTGAAACAAGCATTCAAACAAAGTTGCAAAATGAAACAAAAATACACATTTGCACAAAGCACAAAATTCATGAATCATTCTAACATTCTAAGAAGAGGTAACCATGTACCTTGCTTGCATTCATGGTATTCAAATACTATCATCACCATCCAAACTTGGGGGAATCTTTATTGGATAATTTTAGCAAATATCAACCAATTTAGAAGTTCTCACATTCATTCATCAAAGAAAGAAGCATTAAATTTAAAACAAGCTACCAACAACCATAAAATAAATTAAAGTTGAACATTCCTAAACTGAAGAATTTACCTCTAAATAACATTAAAAAAAAAACTAAATTTGAACATTCGTAAACTAAAACATTCAACTCATATAACAATAAAATGTCATGGTGTAGAACACCAACATAAGTAAAAGTACCTAAAAGTGGTACATCAATACATCATCCAAAACAATCCACAAAGGTGGATAGTATACAACACAAAATAAAATACAATCATAATATAAATATAGCAATAATCTAAAGCTTAACATAAAACTTCACTTTGTAGCAACAAAAGAAAGTAGCTTTAAGATCATGCTCAAAACAACAAAATAACTAGTCTTCATCAAACTCAGTCTCCTCTTCATTCAACTCAAACTCCTCACCAGATTCTGAACTAGAATCAAAACCAGCATCATCATCATCACTAACCTCCTTAACATCCTTAACTTCATTAGTGTCAGCTACACCTTCCCCCTCTCTAGAGAAAGGCCTGGCCTCAGGCCAACCAACATGAACTAGGAACTGCTTCCTAGTCATGATTGAGTGCTCTATCGTAGGCTCACGGTACTGTAGCTGCAAAAATTGCATAAAATCATGAATGTCAATCATGGCACGCTGAGTAGCCGCTATCCAATCCTAGTTGTAGTTGCAGATCTCCCTTTGAAATGGGTCAAAGCCCTGGGAATCCGCAACTCCGAAATCAGAAGTCTCTCTTGCTCCTGTACATGTACCTGTATCTGCAGTCTGTCTTTCTCTCATCCTCTTGGGCTTACAAAACTTATCCACATAATTATCATTAACAACAACCAAAATAGTAACCTGACGGCGGGAGGGTAACTTCACCCTCGAGTGCACACACAAAGCCATGATCAAGCATGGAAAAACCAAAGGGCAATTAGCTAGTGCCCCTGGTTTGATAACACTTTCCACCACCGCATGCATTTCGTCTGCAATGATCCGCATTACATCAATTTGTGTATCGATCATGATATTATGGATCAAGTGAGCCACTTGTATTGGTACAGTAGAGGTATGCGTCCTTGGCTTAATGTTAGTTAAGACCAAGAGTAGCACCGGTTATGCCAAGGGACACATATCCTCCCTATGATATCTCTTTGCAACCCCAGACAGGTTCAGCTCCACCGTCTTGTCTTCCCTTAATAAGGCATCAGAAAT